GCTTTGCCGGCACCGGGCACCGCCTTGATCTCGAGTCACCTTGCGCGGCCGCTGTCACCGCGGACCCCGAGCCCCCGGGCATGCGAGGTGGGCAGGCGTGGCCCACGGAACGCAGTGCGCCTGGGTGGAAATGCTGCTCGCCCCCTCCCTACCCGCCCCGCTCGGGGCTGGCGGCGGAATTTTAAGACCTTTGTGGTGGTCGGAGGGTTGAAATTGATCTGTGCTTGTACCACGGAAAGAGTGAGAGGGAGAGAGAGAGAGAGAGAGAGAGAGAGTGTGTGTGTGTAAACAGTGCTCTGCTTCCTTTCTTCCTCTTCTCTTATCATGGGAGGGCTGTCAAGTGGGCTGGGAGGGTCATTAACTCTTACATAAGAATTTAATAGCAACGGATTCAGTCGTCCTGCCTGCCAAATGCCTCCCTCGCTGCCAGGGCGGAGGAAGTGGGAGAATCAGAATTATTCTGGGTGGCTCAACAAGTGTTTATGAGGCGCCGATGGTGTGCCAGGCATTTGGAGGTACGAAAGTCTTAAATTCAGAGTGGGGGGAGGGGCGGGCAGAGGAGGGCACTTTCGATTGTACGTAATTGTGGAAACTTAGTCCTTGGTAAGTTCACTGAATGTCTACCCTGTGCAGGGGACGATGGGAGACGCACGTGAACATGAAGGAAGTAATGCTCTCTGCACTCCAAGTTCACACCACGGTGGGAAAGAGAGCAGGGAGACAGGTAGGATGCGCTATGGTGGCAGACAGGTGGTAAAAGAGAAGCTCAGTTCTGTCTCCAGCAGGGTCCGCCTTATGGACTTTCAGTGCAGCTCAGCTCGTCCTTCTCACCCCCGTGGTGTTTCAGGACCACATCTGAAAGGCCAGTGGCACTTTTTCTTCCTCCCCATTCTTACTGTCAAAGCCTACTTCTTCCACCCACTCATTCCTATATTTAACATGTGCGCTGAGCATCTATTGTACACAGACCCTGTCCAAGGCTCTTGCGATCATGTTGCTGAACAAAAGAGGCAAAGGACCCTCCCTGGTGGGCAGCACTGCAAGCAGCAGCAGTTGCTTCAGTGGGAGTTCCATCCCTCACCGGAGGTGACCCACATGGCGCAGCAGACCACTCCTGACCCGCCCACTGCTCCCCTCAGCAGTGTACTTTGTCGATCTGCCTGTTCTGCTCCCCACTCTGTCTCTGGTGAATCCTCTCACCGCCCCAGCACCCAGCTCTGTATGAATAAATCAATAAATCTTAAAAAAAAAAATACTCCCAGAAAGAGGCAAAATTAACAGCTCCCTGGGCCAAGCGATTTAGTTCTGTGCCTGTCTCCTAACCTTTGGGTGACAGAGACATCCTTAAAATTCCTCCTTTGCCTTCTGTAATCACTCCCATATTCAGCTTCCAGATCAATTTTTCTTAATTTTTTAAAATTTTACTGTGCTCATGCATACTAGTCCCTTGTCCAAAAAACTCTCCTAGTAATCAGGCCGTGCCCTCGCTAATATTACTTTCTCCGTTCCTGAAATTCTTCACATCATCTGGGACACTTTCATAAAGATTCCATCTCAGTGTTTTTGTTCTGAAATTTCCAACAGTGTGATAGAAGGAGGTTGAATTGTGACTCCCAGAGATATATTCAAGTTCTAATAACCCCCGGTATCTCTGAATCTAACCTTTGTCTTTGGAAATATGGTCTCTGTAATTATGTTAAAATGAGTTCATACTGAGTTGGGGCGGTATTTAAATGCAATGACTGATATCTTTTTATAAGGGAAGGGTGACTTGAGCCCACATACCCAGAGAAGGAGTGAAGTGGAGACATATAGAGTGATGCAGTTATGAGCCAAAGAATGTCGAGAATTTAAGGAACTACTAGCAGCTAGAAAGGGGCAGGAAAGGAGTCTTCCAGCAAGTCATCCAGGGGACCATCACCTAACCTTGATTTTGAACTTCGACCCTCCAGAACTATGAGAGACGTTTTGTTGTATTACACCACAGTTTAGAGTAATTTATTACAGTCATAAGAAATAAACACAGGAATTCTTTCTGTCCCCCACCACCTTTGCTCTTCACCCTTACCCCCCAGTCCGTTTTTTCTCTGCCATAACATAAAAGGCTTGAATGCCTGATGAGGAGTTTTCAGCTTTATTCTAAGAGCAATGAGAACTGAATGAAAGTTTGGTGTTTGGAGCCAGGCACTGACACATTCAGCGCACTCTCAAGAATGACTCATAAAAGACTGTCTTCCACCCAGATGAGAGGTGGTGATGGCATGAACACAGCCAGAGACAGTGCGAACAGCACAAACAACTTGTAGGACTTACTGCACAGACAAGAATGGAATGTCAGCAGCCAATAGGCTGAGAGGATGGAGAGAGGCAAAGAATGACAGGTGACCAGGGAAGGTGCTGAAGCATGGTGGCTCATGATACATGTGGAATTTGGTGTTGCTGGCTAAATAAATGGTTGCCCTTGGTTCTTTGCTGAGTGGTCCTGTTTTTTCACTTTTCCAACCCCTCTCCCCCTTATCCCAGATTGGTCCTCCTGTCTCTTTAAGAAGGGTTTACTCGGCCCTCCCTGGTGGCACAGCGGGTTAAAGCACTGGACTGAGAAGCTAAAGCCACTTCCGCATGAGTTCGATTCCCGCCTGCCCCGGAGGAGACCACATGGTGCGGCAGACCTCTCCTGACCCGCCCGCTGCTCCCCGCTGCTCCCCTCAGCAATGTACTTTGTCTATCTGCCTATTCTGCTCCCCACTCTGTCTCTGGTGAAGCCTCTCACCGCCCCTGAGCCTCAGGCCTGTACCCCAATTCTGTACGCACAAATAAATAAATCTTAAAAAAAAAAAAGAAGGGTTTACTCAATGTGTGTTCTTCAAAGCAGCTTTTAGACTTACTGCATTTGGGGTGGGTTTGTTTGTTTGTTTGTTTTAAGATGTATTTATTTATGCATACAAGAACTAGGGTACAGGCCAGAGGTGTGGGGGTGGGGGCAAGAGGATTCACCAGAGACAGAGTGGGGAGCAGAAAAGGCGGATTTACTGAAATACACTGCTGAGGGGAGTAGCAGGAGAGACAGGTGAGGTCTGCTATGCCATGTGAGTCAGCTCCCTGGCCGTGACTCAAACTCATACCACAGTGGCTGGCAATGGCTTGATAGCATTGAAGATTTTAACCCCTGTGCCATCAGGGAAGCTCATGGGATGATATCTTTTTAGAGTTGGAAGGTGACCTTCAGGGTCTTCTGGACCTTCTGCATCCCCAGTGTTGTGATCCCTCTGCTTGAGTGTGTCTGGTGACAGAGTGGCCATTGTTGACTAACTCTGAGCTAAAGTTCTACATTCAGAGAAGCCCTCCATGAAGAATCTGCCCCGGCCTCCCCTCTCCCAATGTGTTGAGGGTGTGACTCTTGGAATGAGACTGTCTGGTTGGAGCCCTGAAACTTCCCCTTTCTGAGGAAGAAACATGTATTAACTCTTCAGGCCCTTGATTTCCTTGCTTGTAAATAGGGTGATGGTGGCAATAGCACAGGAACCTACTTCGGAGGGTTGTTATGAAGATAAGGTGAATTAATACCTGTGAAATGCTCATCACAGCATTGAGTAGAAGCTGGCACATCCCTGAAGTCATGCCAGTGGCTGCAGAATGGCTTCATTTTTCACAGGTCATAGGGAATCCCAGAAGCTGCTGTGTGGAAGAATCATGAAGCTGTTCTGTACGAATGAGACTTAGGAAAGAGAGAGCTGCTCGGGTTTCTGAAAACCTTCCAAGGCCAGCCCAGCTTCTAGGTTCTATTAAGGGCAAGCTGCCCTCCTGCTCTTAGATTCAACAGTGAGGATCAGTCTCAATGTGACCGAGAAAAGCCTGGGCAGGGGGTCACACAACCTGGTTTCAAATTCCAGCTCTACCAAGCCCCATGACCTTGTTGCCTGTTTCCTGACTTCTAAAAATGGTGGTTGAGGCCCTCCCTGGTGGCACAGCGGGTTAAAGCACAGCACTAAGAAGCTAAAGCCGCTTCCGCTTGAGTTCGATCCCTGACTGCCCCGGAGGTGACCACATGGCGCGGCAGACCTCTCCTGACCCGCCCGCTGCTCCCCTCAGCAGTGTACTTCGTCGATCTGCCTGTTCTGCTCCCCACTCTGTCTCTGGTGAAGCCTCTCAACGCCCCTGAGCCTCTGGCCTGTACCCCAGTTCTATATGCACAATAAATAAATCTTTAAAAAAAAAAAATGGTGGTTGAATCATAGCTATCATGCTGTGCCAGGAACAATTAGGCCAGGGTCTGACACTGGCTAAGGGTCAAATAAGCATCAGGTGGTGGTCTTGTCATTGTCACCACTATTGCTGTTATTTGTGGGTCCAGGACAGTGTTCAGTGAGTCTGGGTTCCTCAGCATGACTCACTAGATGTGACCCTGTTGTGTTCCTTAAGTGCAATGAACAGTGGTCATTAAGACAATCCCCAGGAGGATAAGCCCTCAACCACCCCATGTCCACCAGCTCTCCCAGGAGCCCCTAAGTGCAAATTATACATCCTAGACCATGAAGGCTCTTCAGGCCAATTTGCTAGGAAATGATGGGGTTACGGCCTTCCAGGGCCCTTCCCTAAAAAAATAAAAGAGGCTTCCCAAGGTCTAGAGGGAAGGCTGTGGGAATCCCAGCCTCAGCCAGTTGGTGAACAGAAACCCAAATAGTTATTCACCCAAGAAAGACTCATAGGCTACAGAACAGATATTTGAAATGAATGGACTTGTTGAGAAGAATCTGTAACTTTCGAATGTACACATGCTTGATTTAATCCTTATCCCTGGCTATATAATTAAAGTAAAGCAGAAAATTCCAATAAGGGGTAGGGGGTTGGGGGAAGTGCTTTTCTCCAGTTTAGCAAGGAAGGTTCTGAAAGCTAGATAGCCAATGTCCCATTCTGCAGTCAGTTTGAGGAAAAAGAGGCTCAAGCGAGACAAGGTAGCTTGCTGAAGTTTTGCCATGTAGTAAAGACACACCAGAGAGCCAGTCTAGCCTAGAAAAGCTCTGTATTAGTGCTGAGCTGTGGAAATATTGGTGACTCTCTTTTCAACCTGGTGAGGGCCTGGCATTCTTTTCATCCATTGGGGATACACAAAATCCTCAAACTTGACCTACTAACACTGCACTCTAAACACACCTCAATCTATACACTCTACTGGGAAGCGTCTTTTTTTTTTTTTTTTTAGGGAAGGGCCCTGGAAGGCCATAGCCCCATCATTTCCTAGCAAAATGGCCTGAAGAGCCTTCATGGTCTAGGATGTATAATTTGCACTTAGGGGCTCTTGGGTCTTGGGAGAGCTGGTTGACATGGGGTGGTCGAGGGTTTATCCTACTGGGAAGTGTTTGTTAATAGAAGTTTACTTTAGAAACTGGAACTATCATGGGTTCTGAAGAACCGGCAGATACCTGAAAACAAACACCCTCAGGGACTCTGGAGTCATCTGATTTGGTTAGATGAAGCCCCAAAGCTATTTCAGTGAGAAGTGGGCCACCAGACTGATGTAAATACTGCCAGTGTCTTAAGTCGACAGAGGGTCAGGAGGAATGATGGAGCATACTCAAATAAGAGTCTTTTCATAAGTCTAGTTTAAAAGCTGCTTCTCTCAGCCTAGGCTGAGACCAATGACCTTGGAATCTCAGTGGCTCTAAAAACATGGTTTTCTCCCTCATTCACAAGACTTGTTCATCACAGCCTGGTCGTGACTCAGCTCTGATCATTTTCACTTCGAGGCCCAGGCTGATGAAATAGCGCTTACCAGGGGCCGCGCCAAATTGGTGGCAGAAGGGAAAGAGAAGGTGGCAGACTAAACCATGGCTGTTCAAGCTTTGGCTCAGAAATGGTACCAGTGGCTTCTCAGTTTTCTGTGGGCAGGTTACATGGGCATGTCAAACATCAGCAGGTAGGGAAAAGTCATTCTCCCCCAGGGCGGGTGAGATGTGATAAAATAAGAAATCTACACACACACACACACACACACACACACACACACATTGGTGTCAATCTATTTTCAGGGCTCAAAGCTCTTGTGATTAGAGCACATGGCATGTTTTGTGACAATATTTGGGTTTTTTCCTTCATTCCTAAAATAGATCCAGAGGTTGAAGGTGAAATGAGATGACATTTGGAAAGCTTCAAGATAACACAGGATGATGGCTGGTTGCTAAGGAAACCAACCACCACACACCATCGCTACCTGGATGGGGAGAGGAATGGGACTGCAGGTTGAACCAATCACCAACAGCCAACAATTTAATCAATCAGCCTTATGTATTAAGGCCACCATTAAAATTTTAAAAAGATGTCTACCTGGTGGCACAACAGGTTAAAACACAGCAATCTGAAGCTACCAGCAGGCACCTCAGCTCCAGTTTGATCCCCAGCAACCAGGGAGGTGACCCACGTGGTGCAGCAGACCTTCCCTGTCTCACCCGATGCTCCCCTCAGCAGCGTATTTCAGTCAACCTGCCTGTTCTACTCCCCACTCTGTCTCTGGGGAATCCTCTCACCGTTTCCGCACCTCTGGTCTATACTCCAGTTCTGTGCGCATAAATAAATAATTTTAAAAAGAAAAAAAAAGGTAAAAGATGAGATTATAGGGGCATCCAGGTGGGAGTGTATGAGGAGGTGCCAGGAGGGTGATGAGCCCCGAGGACACGGGAACTCCCCAACCCTTCTCTAAACCCTTCTCCCTTGCCCTATGCCTCTCTTCCATCTGGCTTTTCCTAAGTTGCCTTCTTTTATGATCTATCAGTAATTGAGTGAGTAAACTGTTTTCCTGAATTCTGTTGTAACAAATTCTGGAACCAAAGGAAGGGCTATAGGAACACACAGTGATTATCTAGACTTGCGGTTGGTATCTGAGAATGTGGGGATCTTGTGGGACTGAAACTGTGGCATCTGACAGTAACACCAGGTGGATCGTGTCTGAAGGAATTCAACTGCAGAACACTCAGTGGGTGTCCCCTGAGAATCAGAGAACTCTTGGATGAGGGGAGAGAAGCCCACACGTTTGCAGTATAGAAGTATTCAGTCTCTGGCCTGCACCCCAGTTCTTGCATGCATGCATAAATAAATCTTTTTTTTTTAAGTGTTGGTGAGAAAATTTCCTTTTAAAAAAATATTTATTTATGCATACAGAACTAGGGTTCAGGGCAGAGGTACAGGGGTGGTGAGAGGATTCACCAGAAACAGAGTGGGGAGCAGAACAGGCAGATCAACAAAATACACTGCTGAGGGGAGTAGTGGGCAAGACAGGAGAGGTCTGCTGCACCATGTGGGTCACCTCTGGGGCATGGAGATCGAACTTACACTGAAGCAGCTGTACCCAGCTGGCCTTGCTGCATCCTAACCTACTGTACCACCAGGGAGGGCCATAAATAAATCTTTTTTTAAAAAAGAAGTATACAGTGAGTAGTGAGCACGCTGGAAATGCAGTGGATGTTTCCCTTTACAAAAAGGTTCCAATCCACCCACTACAAAAACTTTACCTATTGGACTAGTTAACAGCAGCCAACACTGACTGCTTACCAGGCACAGCTCTGTTATTTAGTTCTCCCAATATCCACAGGGGTGCATGCTGTTGTTGTCAAAATC